TTTTCCTCATCTTCCTCCCGTCTCGTTGACCGGACGGGCCACAATCGAATTCCCCCAAATTTTCCAGTCTTTTCCCTTTACCTTAAAAATTTGCTAATCAAAATAGATTTCAGGTGGTATCTACTAATCAAGAGAAAGGAACGGAAAACATGAGTTTCCTCGTGAGTGTTTTAATCTTGTTGTGGTCTTTGTGCAAATAATACGGTATCTCAGACTGTCTGTATTTACAGAAAGGCATCAAGGACACCGTCTCGTCTGCGGCTGGTCAGATTGGTGACGTTTTGGAACAAGCCGAGCATAAAGCAGAAGAAGTTAGTGCTATTCAAAAGAAAAATCTGGGTTGGCGTCATGTTCAGACTGGGAGCGGCTGCCCATTTTTGCTAAACTTCCAGGATTGCTCAAGTCGTTGTTTAGGGCGCATATGAATGCTCCTACGATTGGGGCTAGTAGTTGAATGCATGGCGTAGCTACTCTTTTGTGAGGGATCAGAAGAAACTAAAGGGAAATACACAAAGGCGGCGCTCATAGACTTAGGGGGACATTCAAAACAGGGCATTCAAAAACGCTGGTAGATGGCACTAGGACTGAGCCCAGGAGAAGGGAGAAAACGCCAGGGAGAACAAAGGTTGCTCACGTCCTTCCCAGATCAGTTCCCCTCCCTAAGGCTTAGTCCCCAATTCTATAGGTGGCTCATTCCCTTCAATGTCCCCTGTAACGTCATGAACGCCCACAAAGGTTGATCAACCCTTCGGGTGACGCCCTTCGAATTCAGCTATCAGCCAAGACTGTAAGCGTTCACAAAATTAGACCTTGGGGAACATCCCGATATCGAAGTTGCCATTCACTCCTCTGCGAATCAAAATCAGTTCTGGCCATAGTCAGAATGGCCCAAGCGTGATAAAGCAGAGGTTCGACGCTGTCCCTCCTAGCTCAATGCTACGCGCCTCCTTCAAAACCCTCCTGCTGTTTTCACATTTGTTAGAAGAAAAACTCGTCTACAGATTTATGAGGGTAGTGGAGGTGAGGCAACGGCAAGCCGCAGCATTCCCCGCGCGTCGGTGGTGAAATTAAATCCCCCCTCGAACTCCGCCAAACCCCCAGGCCACCCAGGCTCCAGTGTGAACCTGTTGGAATCAGGCTTACCTGGGATGACCGAAAACAGGACATAGGGCATAGTTCGAGGTAGTTTCTATTTCGAATTCGAATCCGGATTTTATCCGAGTGAAGACCACTACCCTTCCAAACGTCATTGCGATTTTGAGGGGAAATAGAGTTTGTGGCGCGCTAAGGAGGTTCTCCTTAGGCTTTGTGAGGTTTATCCTAGCATAACATTTTTTTCACAATTCGTTCCCCATTCTATAATTGTTATATTAAGAGTGCCAAATGGGTAGCGGACAGTGCCAAAGGTGCCTATGATGCCACCGCTGAAAAAACTGCCGAGGTAAGTTTGTTTTGAAATTTTAGCAGCTGTAAATTCTCCCCACTAGTCACAAATTAGTAAATAAACAAATTTCATAAATCAGTAATCAATATTTTGATTACGGTACATCTTCAGAGTGCTTCTTGGATGGCCGACACAGCTAAGGGAGCTTACGATACTACCACAGGAAAAGTTTCAGAGGTAAGCATTCACTGCCTTTGTGGAGGCTCCGATCCTATCAAGATGTCCCGCCTTCATGGCATAACACTTTGGGTGTGCTATACACACACCCCATGCGCATATGTAATACTGTCCCAGGAAGTTATCTTGCTTTTAAGTAAGGGCTTTCATCAGCACACTTCTTTATTGATCTTTATTGTTCAGTACTGTTGTTTTTTTTAGGAGCATCGAGCACAAATAATTCATGTCCTTTGTTTTGGTACTACAGGGGGGGGGGGGGGGGGGGCAAAAAAAAAAGACATTTTGCCTATGTCGGACTTCGGCCTTTTTTCTTCGCAGAGATTGCCGGCGTTGACGGGAGTTCCTCAGCAGAGTGTCCCTCTATAAGTGAACGCAGGCCCTCCTTCACTGCCCTCACCGTCTTCAGAATATGACGTCATCTGTCACCGTCGTCAGGCTCAAGGAGGTCTACCGTAAGAGCTTCAGCCTGAAGCTCTTACGCAATTTCGTGAATCGATTTAATGTTGGATAGTTTTCTAGAGGCATTAGCTACCACTATGCAAATCCCTCGAAACTAGCTTTCCAGTAAAGGTCGTTATGGTACACGATCCTTCGAAGACCCCATTGAGCTCGACCAGTGCACCATGTTTCCAGGGCAAATTCTTCTGATGCCGTCCACGTGGGTGGCCACATGAAGATTTTCTTATAGAATGAAATGTGCTCTTCAATATTAAGTTGGGAACACTCGGTCTCAATTGAGCAAAGTGTGCTTAAATCCATCTGAAAGTGGAGACAAAATGTCTTTTTTTTATTGGCCCCCCCTGTATATTCCGTCCAAGCTATCCACTCGTACTGCATTCATGAATTTTTACATTTGAGGATTTTCTAACCAACACTAATTAAATTAATTATGTTATTGAACGATTTGTAGGCTGCGCATGTTGTTGGTGAGAAGACTACTGACACAGCGCATACTATTGGTGGAGTGTTGGGTGGGACGAAAGAAGCCGCCGGTGATGCGGTAAGTCTTTTTGCTCTCTCATATTCTATTTTTATATCATTATAACATTTAGCATTGATTAGGTGATGAGATATCGATCTTCAGGTGGAGTCAGCCAAAGATCACACCGCTCAAGCTGCAAAAGCTGTTAGTGATTTCATATTTGGCGAGAAGAAAGAAGCCGATCATGCAGCCAAGCAGGTCGAGGAGCACCTTGAGAGAGCTAAGGTTTGTGGAACTTACAGGACGGATTTACCGGACTAAAGTGAGATTACGGAGGATTTCTGACAGAGGCCCGTGCCGGCGCGCAGGTAGATGCGGCAGGACGGGCGGCGGACGAGTCGCATCGCGTGCGCATAGTACATTCTGTTCGGCTTGACGCGAAAGTTACTGGTAAGCGGTGCAGCTCGTCCATTGTACCCGCCTGCGTCTCGCATTCTCCGTCGCACGCTATGAGCTTCCCTGTCGGTACCCGACTGGGATAGAGGAAAATGTGTGGTGTTGTCTGAGGACAGGGGGGGGGGTGGGAAAATGCGAGCATTTCAGAGCATTGAATTTCTTAGGTTTCCGATTGTCCTTTCGAAGACTTGCAGTTATTAAAAAATCGATTATTGATTCTTCTCAACTTCATCTATCGTATCCTATCCTATATGTCATTTCCCGAAGCATGTTTCAAAAAAGAGATGAGCACAGATAGCCATTCATTTGGTTATTTGTTTGCTTATTTATTCATATTTATTTGTTTACTTTTCTTGCACTCAGAGGTGCGCCAAGAAAGAGATGATAGGAAAAAGTTGAGTGCACCTTTCAAGCGAATTGAAAATCTGAGACATTCGTAGATTTTCAATTTTTGAATTATTGGATAAATTGTTATTGTTTGTCACGCGCATAGTGAGAACGCTACTGTTGGATGTGAAACGAGAGAACATACATAAGTGCTCCATAGTGTAGTGGATTAGCATGGTGCACGGTAAGCACAAATGCGAGTTCGAGTCCGAGGCGAGGTGCTCATAACACAGCATAAACATGATGAGGTGATGACTTTTTTAGTGCTTGTTTCTTACATGGACACCTCATCCTATCCATTCCGTACTTCAACCTCACCATAGCTATTCTTGTTACAGGCTGACGCATACGACGATTTCAAGCATGGGTCGTACGAGGCCGACAAAGCTATCAGTGAGGGCAAGGTTAGTGGAATTGTAGTCTGCTCTTTAACAAGCCACAACTGGTAAAATATTAGTTTTTGTATAGTACATGCGCTTTGGTGGAATCTTGGAGCTTAAATGGTAAGGTTATTTTAGTCCGAGATGGGTTAACATGGTATCAATTGCTTAACGGTAAGCACGGTGTTATCCGCATAAGGCATAAGGTAACTTCCTCCTGACTGCGGTCGAGCGCGTGGCACATTCCGAAATAATAGTTGTCCCGCCCAGAGCTGCCTGGAGAGGGATAGTCATGTAAATGCCACTTACCTGTTACCAGGCAAGGAAGATTACGTACAGTCATGAGCCTACCGTCTCTTACCTGCCACCTGTTTTCTCGTTCATGGCTCATCGGGGTACCCGACAGGAGGCCCGTCGCGCGGCAAGAAGGCAGAGTCAGCGGACGAGTCGCAGCGCGTGATGTGCGATGTAGGACGTACAATGGTACATTCTATTTAACTTGACGCGAAATCACTACAGTACGCGCTGCGACTCGTCCGCTGACTCTGCACCGCGCGACGGACCTCCTGTCGGGTACCCTGGCTCATGGAGTTTCCCGTGCGGGCAGCACAAACGTCCACATTGGTCCGTGTCGTGTGCCAAAGTATCCCAGTGGAACCATTCCGTTGGAGAGAAAAGCAACATCGCATTACTTCCGTGCAGAGCATTCATGAGCCCATTGAAGACGTCAAAATTCGGAATGGACAATCTGAATCGGAGCTGCAAATGGCAAGAATACGAGCGTACAGCCATTGGGAAGGGAAGTGTATCAGTCCAGCTAGGGCTGTTGTAGATCTGCGCTTATCGCTGGAATCGTTTCGTCAACACCTCGACTGCGCCTACAGGGTCTCCTGCTGGGATTTCATTATCTTCCTACTATGCCTCCAAAGTCCATGTTTGAAAGCTTGTAGTAGTTTTTACACTTACTTGGAGTAACTTATAAATACTTAGACGACCCGTTGATCAGCACGGCGGTTGGCCTTGCGCGGGTCCCAACTTCTTTTCCATTGCTCGCGGTCTTGGGCTTTCGTTGTCCAGTGTACGGCCACCTTAAGGGACACAGGATCATACACGTTGTTTCTGTATGCCAAAGAGTCTGCCCAACGTAAAGGAGGGCGGCCAAGTGGCCGTTTCTTCTCGCGCGGATACCATTGAGCAGTCTTC